AAGTGACAATCACATCTTGAAGAAAATAGTAGTAGATAAGTAGATAATCACAAATATTGACTAAAATATCTAAAGTATCATTTGTTGTTCACTATTGAAATCTGCATCATGTACAGATGTATACAAAAGTTTGAACAAATTACGTTTTGTTGATTTTCTAAGTGAAAATACGTCAACACTGAACACAAACTGTAATTGGGCATTAAAATGTGTAGAGTTCTTTGTAGAGGGTGTGTTAACTTATTTTCACTTAGAAAAATCAATGAAATGTAATATTTTGCATATAATTAATTTGTTCTTGCAGATAAAGTAATAAAACAATATTAATATGAAAAGTGATTCCAAACATTTGAATGCTAGTGTATGATTGCGTAGGCTAGAGTATTAGATGTAGAGTATTTTACAGCAGCTTCCAGGATGGCTCAACCAATCAAGATTTTAAAACCGTAACTATCCACTTTATAAACAGTAACTCCACAGCATGCTAACAAAGCAGTCCTGGTATCCTGTCTGTCTTGTCTTTGTGTTATACTAAACCAAAGTGAGTGAAGCCTGGACGGGAGAATGAAGACCCTGTAAGCCAGATGGCATTTTACTACGTGCTGTTCTTCAAGGAGCCCCATTGATTCAAAGCGCTGAGGCGGCTTTTCGCTGTGATTGGACCAGAGGATCAATAAAGCTCTGCTGCTAAAGCCACACATTATACCTCTGCTACGATGTCAGAGCCAGTCTGCAGTATTTGAAACTGATGAAGGAGATAGCAGAGAGAGCGGAACATCTCTCAAACGGCACACACACACACGCATCATGTATTTGACCAAAGCTGGGACGGGATGATCCAGAAGGGGGATTCTGGGCTCAGTGAACTGCTCCACTGCTGCAGCCTGTCTACTAAACTTCCTCTCAGAGGCAGTATGGAGAAAGAGCCTCCCTCTGGGACGGTGGAGGAGGGTGTGACTGTGGCTGGGGGAGCTCCTCATTCTTCTCAAGAGCAGTCTGATAGTATAGTAACTCTATCCTCTATTGTGGTGTCCCCTGCTCTAAGCAAATACACCTGCAATGTTGAGATGTACTACAATGAACGGTTCACTCTCATTCGTGGAGGTTTATATGTTTCAGAACAAATAGAGCCTCTAAAGCTCAGATGGTAATGACATTACTGTCTGTTAAATCTAAAGGCTGCCATAGACCTCTGAGGTTGTGATGTGATTCTGCAGTCAGCATCATGCCCATATTAGGAACTCTACGTCTAAGCCGGTTTTCTCTGTGAGACCAATGGGTGGCGTTTTCAAAAATCGCTGCTATTGCACCCTGTGGTGAACAAAAATGTTCCAATGCTGGTACGCATTGCTGTATGAACACTGTTCCTCTGAACGTCGCTGGATCCTCTGAATTATAAGGTCATTAAGAGGCCAAAAAACAACTACACGCATACTGCTATATGCAAGCTAATACTACTGATCATAGATGTATGTGGTAGTTCAGCTGCTTGGGCAGCACTATATTATAGTTTGAGTAGCTAGTGTTGGTATACAATAGTGTTTAAGTTAAATAGTAGACTTTCATGCAACAGATTTCAGATGGCAGAATTGTTAGCTTGTTGGTAGCACAAATCTGGGTGTTGCCAAAGCTCCAAAAGTGGTGGGCCAAAACATTCCAAAAAGCAAAAGCAAAAACAAAACAGCAGAACATGGAACTGTGGCTGAGTGCAACTCAGTAACTGACTTAAAAAACAAATACATCACTAACTAACTAAAACTTCCTTGCAGCACTACGCATAGCATATCACTGCTGTCGGCTCAAAAGTTTTTTGCCTTTTGCTGTAAAGTTGTTAATCTGGAGATACAAAGTTTTATTCCATCAGCAGTGAAATGTTATGCTAATGACATCCCAATAAACATATAAACTTACTCATAAACAGTGTCAGTGTTTGTTTTCACGCTAAGCTGAGACAGCATATCATTGAAGAACATCAAATTTTAGTTTGGCAAGACAGCAGTAAAAAATAGTGAAACTGACATTTAGTAAATTTCACATACTGTGGAACTTAAAATGTGACCAAGTGCATTAATTTGTGTATCTCAGTAAAAACATATTTTTACCATATTAGTGTGCTGCAGCTGCTCTCACTAAACATGAAATCACAGAGCTTTTACTGTTTGGGAAATGTCCCACCAGCTACCTGAAATGGAGATTTTGACTGGTTTTGAGTTTGACTTTCAGTCTGTTTGTACAGTTTAGGGAGAATGGAGCTTTTTTTGAATGTAAATAATATGAGCTCAATCGAAAAGTGGCGAGGCATCGCCCCAGTGCTTCTGGTGTCCCTTTATGTAGTGTTATTCAAATTTTGACTACTAAACATCAAACATTCCATTGGATTCAGTGACATTCTGGAGGAAAACATGCACAGGACACAATGTTTTGTGTTTGGAATGTTTTTGTTCACCGCAAAGCGCAAATGAGATGATTTTCAAAAACAGCATTCATGTTGCTCATAGAGAAAATCTGCTTAGACCAGGAATTCCTAATAAGTGTAAGATGGTGACTACAGAATGACACACAACTTCAGAGGCCTATGGGTCCATATCTCCTAAGGATCACAAAACATTATGTAAATGACCAATATAAATACAAGGATTTTCATTATATTGAAAAGGTTAATATCTTTTTTCTACCTATTGTAAAATGTATTGCACATAACTTTAAAGTTTAAAGTAAATGTTAAAGTTAGTGTAAGCATTGAAAACAAATCTGTAGGCTTACTCAGAGGATTTGGACGTTTTTTTGCTGAGAACAGGGACTCACTGCAATAAAGCACTTCTATTTCACTACACTTTGCCAAAGCCTATTCAGCACCCTGGACAGCGCCATTGTAATGACTAGCACAAGGTCCTGTGTTAATGCTCATGACTCATGACATTTCAGCACCTCCTGTAAGATTTTCCTGAGGTCATCCTATGCCGCTGAGCATGTCCAGTGCAGGGGTGGTTTGATGATGTGTATGGCAACAGCACTAGCACTATAGGGTGAGATTGGCTACTGCCTGTGTCAGAGGCTTTTTTCTTTAGGATCTGTTCCTCAGTATCGATTGCTTTAATGCAGTCTAGTGAAGGGCTTTTTTCCCGGGGGTGCAGTGAAGGGCTAATGGGAAGCGGTGGCATAGGGCCCCTGTTAATGAGAATACATTGTCATCAGGAAGCCCAGCATGTCTCCACATCACTAAAGCAAAGCTCACAGCCACCTATGAATGAGTCCTGTTTTAAAACCAACAGTTATGGTTCTAAAATTTGCTTGGCTAGGCCACGTTAGAAGAGGGTGTAAAATGCTCGATACTGCATACAGGTTCCCACATATCAACTGATTTCATTACGGACAAAAACAACTGTGCTGCTCATAGAATAATCTTTGACTATAATATTGTTCGGGACAGGGTTAATATAGTTCTGAAATTTTTATTAGTTTTTATTTTCATTTAGTTTTTCATTTTGATTTTTGATTTCAGTTTATTTTCAGTTAGTTTTAAGGATTCATAGTTTTAGTTGTGTTTTTTTATAGTTTGAGTTTAGTTGTTAGTATTATGATGACTGCTGTGATAGTAGGTATTTGATTTGCAAATGGATTTGGACAGTTGGAAAATGGACAGTTTTGCAGTGGATATTATAGTTTTGACTTCGTTTTTATGTTTTTGAAAACTGTCATTTTTATTGTTATTACAGTAACAACTGTTCATCACTGCTCGTTTCAGTGATAGTTTTAGTTAACTACTATAACTTTGGTTTGGGAACCATAGCCTACAGTTTACTGCTATGGATGAATTATCATTGTAAGTAATAACTATTCTGCTTTGCGTGCCTAACAACACCTAAACATGGTAAATTACTGTAACATACAGCCTCTTGTGGTTTATTGCTTTAGCTTCCTTCATTGTAAGTAACCTATCTATGCTCTGTGCACAACTATATTCATTCATAGCTGCTGCTGCGATGTTGGACTAGCTTTACAAAATCTCATTTATCCTTAATGAGAATTGTATCGCACAACATTTTTTCTCAAAAGACATATGTTTTCTGGATTTGGCTGCTATACTGTTTGTTTAGAGTCACTACATAATGTTGAGTTTCAGATTAAAATATTATGCCACCAAGTTGGACTGTGTTGTTGTAGCTAACAGAAACTAGGCAGGAAAGAAACAGCAATGACAGAATTTGCTACCATTTTAGGCTTGATTAGCTCAATTACAAGGCTAAAAACAACACTGATCTACAGGGACCCGTGTGATTTCTGTAGAATGGAGTTTGTTGTTTTGTTTTATATAATTTAAAGCCTGTAGTAGCTATGCACTGTTTAATGCTGTGTCACTAAAACACAAGATGTCCAGAGTCAAAGCATATGCAGCTGTAGGGTATTTCTGAGCCCTCAGGCAGCCTAACATTGTTTTTTTAACATAAACATTTCAACCAAAGAAACTCCAGGTTAACTCATAAGATTAAACAGTATTTTTGACAATTTTTTATGAAAAGCTCGCCTAACCTAGAAATGGTTGCTAAGAAAGAACGCAATTGTGAGCAGAACATAGACCAATTCTGTCACAAGGTCCTTACATCCATTGTTTTGCTACAATTTCACTATGGAATACTACTACAGTAAATACTACTTTGTAGCTTCTCTGTGGAAACTTAATGCTTAGAATAAAAGAACTCACTTAAGCTTGAAACAAGCTCCTACAGTGAGGACTGATTCCAATTTAGTGTCCAGATTATATAGTTACTTGCGGAGTAGGGCTACTAAACACGACTTTGTCTCTCTACATAGCCATTTATCTTTCTCTTTCTGAGCATTCAGTGTTCAGGTATGTAGCCGCTGTTCTTTGTATGGCAGCTGCTCTAACAGCAGTTCATACATATTTGAAAAAAGAAGCACTTTGTGAGATCTAGATTTTTCAGTGGGAATTTTTACAGTCCCCTTCCAACTCACTCTCTTTCCTTCTCTCTCTTATTCAGTCAAGAAACAGTTTTCAGCAGGGTGATATTGATGGTGCAAGACGTCTGGGTCGCCTGGCTCGTCTCCTTAGCATCGTCGCCATCATCCTGGGCCTGCTCATGGTTATAGTCTACACAGTGGTGTCAGGTATAACGCACATTCACACGTTTGATCTGTTTCATTTATCATCAGTGCTGTGTGAGTATTGCTATTTTAATAAAACGACAACCCCAGCAGAAACAGATAATAAAAAAGCAGAACAACCTACTCAGAGTTTGAGTGTAATTTGAGAACTGTAATGTAACATCATAGCTCATACATAGCAGCATATAGTTACGGTCAGTATAATTATTAGCATGAATAGCATCATGAAAAATGTCTTTGTGGTTAATTAACTCAGTCTCACCCTGAAAATGTATTAAAAATGGACCTTTAATTAAAGTAAATTTAACCTAAGTTAAAAAAAAATAATCAAAACTGATTCCCATAAATATATTTTTTTAACAAAACCAAGTGTCATAGTTATTGGCATCCCTAGAAATTCCAGTGAACAAAATATAACTCTGAGTGTTCAGGATCTCTAAAGCAGTCATCCATGATTTCCTGTTTCACTTGGGCATAAATATGTAAGTGACAGAGGTTAAATTCCCTTCATTTTTCATTGACACAAATCAGCCAATGGCAGTTTAAGAAGTAAATGTCTGAAAATGCCCATATCCACTGTTAGGGCAACAATGAAGAAGTTTTAAACAACCAGAGTTGTAGTGAAACTGCCTGAAAGAGGACGAAATTCAATTTTACCCCTTTGCAGAGTGAAGATGATGGTTAAAAAAGGCAAATATTTCTCCAATAATTACGGTAAGTCTCCAAAAAATGTAGATGCTACCTCTATGCCAACAAAGTATTTAGAAGGCATGCCAGCAGAGAGCTTTTTCGTTCATCTAACCTTAAATATAAGCACGTGGAATTCTAGACCTACTTGGGCTGCCTCTGCCACAAATCTGAAACTGGGTTGCAGTTGGATGCTCTAGCAGGACAAACATACATTCAAATTCACACAAAAATGGATCACTAACTACAAAACCAAGCTTTTAATATGGCTATCCCAGTCTGCTGACATAAAACCCATTCATCTGTGGGGTGGACAGAAGTGGAGAATCTGAAAGAGATTACATAGGACCATGGAGGATTTGGAGAGATTCTGTATTGAGGAGGGGTCTCAGATTCCTTGCTCTGTATTCTCCAGTCTCATCAAGAATTACAGGAAAATACTCAATGCTGTTTCACTGGCAAACACAAGGTTGCCAATAATTGTGATACATGTAGTTTTGCTGAAAAATATTGTTGTCATTTTTTTGTTAGACTCCATGTCCTTGAAAATTAAAGGTTGGATTTGTCCTCATATCCGTGTGAGATTGAGCTAATTAACCACAAAATATTTTATATGTTTGACATTTTCTTCTCATCTTTACCAAAGGCTGTCAACAAATATGGAAGTGATTGTATGTTCAAAGTGTAGTTTGCCAGGTGCCAATTTTTTCTTTGTGTTAGACTACTGAATAAAATGAAGCTTAAAAATGAATTAGGAACTAAGTTTTTATTTAAAGGCCCCATATCCTACATTTCTCTTTACTTTATGCCTTTGTTTTGTTACTGTGCCGTTAAGACCAGATGTAAAGGACTTATGTTTTGATATGCTGCCCTGAGGGGTAAAGCACTATCAGCAAGAATGGGTGGGGCTAAACTGCTATAGGCAGATACATATATTGCTTTTGTGACATCACAAAAGCAATTAATTTAAGTTGAACACTTTTTACTGCTAAGTTTCCATATACAGACTGTATGAAATGGGGACTGAACAGTACTTTGGAAAAAAAAAAAAAAAAAAAGACAGTTGGGAAAATTAAGTTGTCCATGTCCTTTAAGAACACGAGAAGTGTAACAGGTCACTAGTCATCTCCTGTTATATTTGGTAGATGTTTATTTAGAGTTTTTGTCATGTGCAAGGCGCTTCACATTAGCTGTTTCCTGAAAGTGGATAAACTTAATTGACGCCCTATTCTCTGCTTTCTTCCACAGTAACAGGCAATTGACTGTAAAACGCCACGATGAAGAGGAACAACCATCTACAGCAAAAAACCCTCCAGCATAATTACAAAAATGACTTCCTCCTTATAAAATAAAACCATCAAATACAAAAAAGAGTCAATAGGAGTGTAGCAAAAAATATGACCTATTTAAAGAGAAATGACATGCATGCCTTAAGTAAACGTTTGCTTGATGAAAAAGAAAAAAAAACCTCTAGGTTTAAAATGAAGAGTGACCATTTGTGAAGTATACATGAAACACAAAGCTGTTTCTCTGAGGAGCTGTCTGACGATGACGCAGAGGATGGAATGAAACTGTACATCAAGAATAACTTCAGGATGCGAGGACAAGGACTATGGACTACAAGCTGCATCATAACCTTATATTACTCCTGGTCTTGCATTCCAAAAGTATACAGATGCACAGATATATTTGCGATATAACTCTTAATGTATATTTTATATAAAGATTTGTACACTGAGCTAAAATAAGGCCACGGAAATGAACATGGGGCGAATGGATCGCTAGACAGTTGCCTTGTCAGTGCTGGTGGACTGGCCTCACAGACTTTGTCAAAAGAGAAATGAAACTACTTGCAATGGGAGGAGTATTTTGTTTAAGCTGTTGATTTTTTTGTAGCTTTTGATTACAAAAACGACCACCTGCATGTGAATAGGCTGATGTCATCACCTCCCAATATAGCCACTGTAGCATTTTTGTTCTAGATGAATAGTGGATGCCATTGGTATCTAGAGTGGAATGTGTGTTCGTGGTGGGGTCTGCCAGAATATGAGTCGACTGTTCTCTTTGCCTTGAGAGCAGCTTCAGTGTAGTAAAACGCATGTTAGCCCCTCCTTAATCTGTGCTAGCTACTGAAGCATGGACTACGTCTAGAGGCATGAAGAGGCCAGCACCATCGTACGCTCTGTGCTGATGCCCTCCGATCAGTACACTACCTAAAACCAGAGCTAGTCACTGACCCCTGATCGTCACTAGTGCAGAATGTAAATCAGTTCCGTTTTGGACTCCTAATTGTATATGTATGCTATATATCCGTATATTTATAGAACTATTTAAGCATGCAGTAGGCAGACAGTAACACCTGTTTTCTATTGTCACTAAAAACCACAATGTTAGAAATAATGACGATGCATTGAGCACATTTGACAGTATTTACTGCATCGCTGCCACTTTAGCCTAAAATACAAATACAACTGTAATGCCAAACGTTGGAGTCAAAGCTGAAAACAAAAAGGTGTAGATTGGCTCTAAAACATTCCTACTCAGCTCGGTCAGCTAGAAATTCTTCCCTGAGGGGTGGAGCTAGCCAGTGACTCTGGATATTTGTAATCATGCATTTTACTGCCCCATTCACTGATTTCACAGCACTTTATTATACTCTTATGCATTAGTTGATAACAGATTATGCATCAACTCCACAATTTGTTCAGTTGCCAATGAAACTGTACAAAATGCTTTGTTTTTTGTAACCTGGTTTGTACTTGATATATTGCCTTGGTTTGTATTGTGACATGTTGACATAGGTTGAGACTGTTAGCACCTGCAAAACCCCCAAGCATGTAATCACCACTTTTTTCACTCCTGTTTTTCCTCTTTCTCCTCACCTGTATGAATGTGAATGTGAGATGCACTAATTTGTGAAACTAAAGGAAACACACAGCTCTCTTCCCTATATCTCATTTAAATATTTCTGATTGTTACATCAGGTACTCACTGTACGTTAGTATACAGTGCCAATATTAATAAGATGAAAAAGTGCTGCTTTGTGTCTGTAAAACTGTGATTTTCTTTAAATTGCTTTTTGGGTAACTTGGTTCACTTTGGATATATTTTTTCCACAGGTTTGTGTACTTCTGCATGTGTGGAATAAATGATAACATGCATGGTCCACAACTCATGTCTGGTTGTTCATCTTGCAGAGATTCGTAATCAAAGGGAAATTATTCTACTTCAGTAGGGCTTATATGAAAGCTCATGAGCAGTCAAATTTGCAACAAATTCAGAAACCAATCTCCTGTAGTGCAGTCTGGCAGCATCGTTCCTTGGAGAAAAAAACAAAAAAAAAAACAGAATGCAATGATGTACAAATAATTTAAAATATTTAATTGAAAATAGTACTAAGACAAGAGAGGCAGAGTCTTTCTGAAATAAAGATGGGGAGGGGTTCAACACTGTGAAAGATTGTGTAGGTAAATATTGCAACAATTCAGGAATAATATTTTTCAACATAAAATAGCAAAGAACTTGGGGATTATCATCATCTACGATACATAATAACATTAAAAGATTTAGAGAATCTGGAGAAATCTCTGTATGCAAGGGACAAAGCTGAAAACCAACACTGGCTAGCTGTGATCTTCAGGCCCTTTAGGCAGCACTCCATTAAAAACAGACATGACTCTGTGGTGGAAATCACTGCGTGAGCTCAGGAACACTTCTGAAAACCACTGGGAACATAATTCATCACTGCATCCACAAATGCAAAGTTAAAACTCTACCATGCAAAGAAGAAACAATGTATAAACAGGATCCAGAAATGCTGCCACCTTCTCTGGGCCCAAGCTCATTTAAGACGGACTGAGGGAAAGAGAAAAAGTGTCCTGTGGTCCGCCGATCAAAATTTGAAATTCCTTTTCGAAATCATGGACTCATGTCCTCCAGCTTTAAGAGAGGGGCCATCCGGCTTATCAGTACACAGCTCAAAAGCCAGCCTGATGTATGGGAGTGCATATGAGTGACTTGCACATCTGTGAAGGCACCATTAATGCTTAACACTACATAAAGGTTCTGGGGCAACATATGCTGCCATCCAGACAACATCCTTTCAGGGAAGGCCTTGCTTATTTCAGCAAGCCAATGTGAAACCATATGCTGTACGTATTACAACAGCATGGCTCTGTGGTAAAACTAGTCCACCTGCAGTCCAGACCTGTCACTCACTGAAAACATCTGGAGCATTATGAAACGAAAAATACAACAAAGGAGACTGAAATCCTATATAAAGCAAGAATATGGAAAATTTCCACTTTCAAAACTACAGCAACTGGTCTCCACAGTTGCCAAATGCTTGCAGCGTGTTGTTAAAAGAAGAGGTGAAACAACACAGTGGTAAACATGTTCCTATGCCAACTTTGTTGAAACGTGTTGCTGGCATCAAATTCGAACAGGCATATATTTTCAACATTTGATATGTTGTCTTTGTACTATTTTTAAATGATCTGCACATCATTGCATTCTGTTTTTATTTACATTTCACACAGCAACCCCAACTTTTTTGGAAATGGGGTTGTATGTAACTATAAGTCGTGTCCAAATACTGTATTGTTTTTTGTGTATTTTGATTTACTTACTGAATTGGTCAAAAGATTGAAATTTGACAGAGAGATCCTTTTCACAACAGAAATCTATTATACAACCAATTCCAAAAAAAAAGTGAAATGCCAATAAAAACAGAAACAAGTGATTAGTAAATTCTGTTTGACCTGTATTACATTGAAAACAGTACATGATATTTGACATTTTATCTTATCTTTGTTTTTTCAAATATATGCTCATTCCAAATATGATGGGGTAGGAGTATGTTCACCTCTGTATTACATCTTTTTAGAACACTTAATAAATATTTGGGGACTGAAGAAACCAAATGATGCAGTTTTGAAAGTGAAATTTCTTGCCATTCTCCAGCGGCACAATCATATGTGATGTTTTAATAGGAGACGGGCAGGCCATTCTAGCACTCTGATTACACAGCCATGCTGTTGTCACATGTGCAGGAAGTGGCTTGTTGTTGTCATGTTGAAATAAGCATGGACGTCCATGAAAAAGACAGCGTCTAAAATGCAGCATATGTTGCTCCAAAATGTGCATACATCTTTCAGTGCTCACAGATGTGCAAGTTACCAATGCCCTGGGCATTATTACACCATGACAGATCCTAGCGTTTGTACTTTACACTGATAACAATCTGGATGGTCCTTATTTGGCCCAGAGCACACAACATCAGTTTTTCACATAAACAATCTAACGGTTGACTTGTCAGACCATAACAGACGTTTCCACCGTGCATTATGGATCAAGGAAGTCGACCACATTTCTGGGCATTGTTGACATATGCCTTCCATTGTATAATGCAGTCTTAACTTGCATTTGTGGAAACAGCAACTGTGTTGACAACAATTTGGCGAAGCCCATGTGGTGATATCCATCACAAAAGCATGCTGGTTTTTAATGCAGTGCCATCTGAAGGATCAAAGATCATATGCACTTAGTGGTGGTTTTTGGCCTTGCTTTTTATGCACATTGATTTTTTTCAGACTCCCTGAATCTTTTTATAATACGTACAGTAGAGGGTGAAATACCTAAAACCAACTGTAAACATATGTTGAGGAACATTGATGGACTATTGCTGGACTATTCATTGATGCATTTTTTGGGAAAGTGGCGCGCGCTGACCTATCCATGTAAATAAAGGATTAGGCCTTTCCTGGATACTTCGTTTTTACCCAAGCATGATTACATCACCTCTTCAAAACTGTTCCGGTATCAAGGTCTTCGGACATGCTGCATTTGTCAATTTCAGAATGAGCATATATTTCCAAAAACAATAAAGTTGATAACATGACCCACTAAATATCCTTGTAGGGTTTTCATTATGTAAGTCAAAGTTGATTTACAAATCACCTCTTTCTGTTTTTATTTACATTTTACATACTGCCCCTTTTATGGAATTGGGTTTGTATAAATAGAGGCCATTCTGAAAACCAAGTACATCATTTTTGGTATATTGGCTCCATAAATGCACAGTGGCTGGACCCCAAAGATCACCACTTGCGATGTTATTTGTAGTCTTTAGCTCTCATAGCGGTTATGACATTGCACAGAAATGTATTCTATATCAATTTCAGATGCAAACTAAATGTTATCTGATTGTCTTCATTGCTAACAATGATAATTTCCATGTGTTAGTCTTTTGTCACCAACTGTTACAAGGCTATCGAAGAAAGCAATCGCAAAAATGAAACCCACTTCAACTGTGAAGAAACATGTTTCTCATTTCACATATATAGGAACTCTGATTGGCCTATAAAATTAAATGCTGTATCTGTGTGTTAATGCAAGAGGAAAGCTTGCAACACAGAGCGAAAGATCCGAGACTACTTTTCTCTATCAAATGTGCATACGTGCACAAACACAGCCATTTTCATAGTCCTGTTGTGGTCGTGAATAATGCATGGCTCAGGAAATGACACAGGATCTAGTGGCTGATTTTGCACCTCACTTGCAGGCTCTTGCCTTTCTAATCGCTAAAGAATGGCACTCTGCCCAGCCACAGGCCACTGACAGCTCTGCTCTGCAACACAGGAAAAGAAGAATTACATTAGCTTCTGACAATTACAACCTCAGGTTTTAATACATTCTGAATTTTATTAATAATCACAAAGCATCACATTGAAATACTTTTACTCTGATATAGCAATGGGGGGTGCTTACGTCAACATTCAGACTGTGTTAAATGGAGTCTTTGGCTTCATGAATATAGGCTAAAGCCTACGCGCAACTTGGGGAGCAAAGTAATACAGCGTTTATTGCATTTATGCCCAAACAGTTCACCATCAAACCACAATGAACTCTATTAGAGCCATGTTTCTGCAAGCAAGGATACGAAAAAGCTCTTTAGAATTTGGTCCATGTCTGCTGTACATTAGTGTAGTTAGACCTGTGCAGATTGTAGATCCTTCTGTGCAACATCCTTATTAGATGTTTCCTGCTGATAGTCTCTTCATATTCCCACATCACAGTGCAAGGACTAACAAAACGTGCTGCTATACAAGCTTTATCTTGCTCCAGTAACCACGCAAAAGGCTCTGAAATTTTCAAAAGGTGCCAGGAAAGTTGGGTCTCTTTTCCCAACTCTGCTTCCATACATAGAGGAGAATAAAATAAAGGAACAACTGAGGCTACAAATGAGTGGTGATAAAATGAGTCAAAAGCAAATAAATTGTAAGGTGGTAAGGTGGTCTGATCAACTACAGGCAGAACGGGTTCTCAAACTGCAAGAATGAAGGAAAACTGACTCAAAGGATGAGGACTACCATGTCATTTCAGCTTTCAGTAATGGCTCAGAGGGTGCCATTAGGGCCAGTGACATGCTGGAGTATCTTCACAGCCATAGATACAGTAAATATGGGTCAAACCTAACTTAACTGTCCTATATTTTTAATAAATTGTACTGATAACCAACAGGTCACCAAAAAAAATCTCCCTAACTGACAAAGAATTGTCTCTCTAACAAAAATAAAAGAAATTAGACATAAATGGCAATTACTGATATTTAATTCAAAGCCACCTACAATCTTGCAATAAAGGAATTTTCCAGTACTTTTCAATGCTGAGATTTGTGTAAGGACAGCTACAGTCAGTAAGAGGACTGGAAATCGGGTTAAATCTACTCAGCTGTAATCTCCTGAACTCTTTAGACTGTGTAATTGGATAGCCCCACAGAGGCATGAAATACAAAGTACAACTCTAACAGTGTGTATATATACAGTATTTACACAGAAAGAAGGGATGAAGTGGATTCCAGAGAAGTCACCAAACTCCAAGGAATCTCTTTCAGCAGAGAACAAAGTCACATCAGCTGAAGAGAGAGAAAACAAACTGTCACAGTGTGGGGTCTATTCAAAGCTCTCATGTAACAATACCCAGGATACCTAAAACATTTCTATTGGTTTTCAGCCTTTCTGATAACTGTACTGAGCAGAAAGTTAGAGCTGTGACCTTTAGATAAAGGACCAAAAGGGAGAAACAGAGGTTAAAGAGAAAAAAAAACACATAAAGGAGCTGGCAAGCTCTTCATTGTTGGAGGATTGATGCTTTCCTTGCAACTCACTGTATTAAGCACTTTGCACAAAGTACTCACTCAGTTGTACGCCTGTGCACAACCTCAAGCAAAAACACTCCCTCATCCTAACAAGCTTGAAGAACATCAGTACAGGCCACTTTGCATGAACTGGGACAGACACATCAAAAATAGATGATGCAAATGAGCAGAACTCAGCAGGCCTATTTGGGGAACAGGCATCATTCGTCAAGCTACATGGACCAAAGAGAAAGGTGGACACCATCACTGACAAAGACAAATGTCTGCCTGTTTCAGGGCTTGCAGCACTTCAGAACCCAGTATCCTTAGTTTTCTCCCTGTAGAGTGGCAAAGTATCACTGAGGGGAGCTGTGTTAGCATTTTAAGCAGTTGATACTGAGAATTGTTTGAATAGGGCTAATTGAGCCAAACAGGTTCTGTTTTAATGATAATTCCAGAGAATTTTTAAACAGCAAAACTGCAAGTCTTCAAAATGAAAGAGATACAATGGCATCTGTTCTATGTTAATTGTTTTGATGGAGAAAGACATCTGGCAGGCATCCAGACTTGGAGAAACAGCAAAAGCAATACTGAGAGAAATGTTACTTGAGCTACAAATATGAGTTTTAAAGGAACCATAGCAAATCTTAGAGGTTTTACGAATGAATTTTACCCTTTTACTGAGACTCTCCATGCTTCCCTGCCTTAGGTTTTAGAGTACAAACCTTTACATGCATCTATTCTTTTCATCTCTCATATCAAGGAAAGACTGGCTGCCTTTCTCACGCTCCAGTTCCTCTGGCAGTGTGGATGTTCAGTCAGCCAGTGGAGACTCGTGAACTGTGGCTCACTATGTTCTCAGGTCTTACTGGGAAATGTACAGTGGTTTTTTCAGGTCTTTTAGAATCTTCACAGAAGATGCAGCAATTTTTCTGCCACTTCTTCACTTTCAACAAGAGCATACAGGAAGAATACAGGGGTTTAGGCTGTTAAAAATCCTCATGTGAAAAGTCATTGTTACATTTAGAGAAGTTGAGATGTCTGAAAATAACAACTTCAGAAGTTAAGCGCCTAGTGTGACACATTTTAAACATCCTGTATATGAATAATTTATTAAATCACATAACATGATGAACATCCCCTTCACAAAAAGGACCATCACATTAAAATCCTCCAAACCCCAGTAATCAACAGTACACAGCACAATTTCATGGTGCTGTGCTAAAGAGACTTTTTATAAAAGCCAGTGTTACAAGTTGCTCTTTAAAACCAAACCATTCTAGTCTTATTAGTTATTTGGTCTCCATTCCCTTATCCTTGTCAGAACAGCATGTCTGTAATAATAATTAGCTTCTCCGGAACAAAAAAATGCTGCAAGAGCTACATCCATCCCATTGCTAAATACAAGTAAGGTAGTCCATGCTGGCCACAATCAATCCTGTTATCTGATTACGCCAAGTGGGAGTCTGCTTAGTAGCCCCCTAGGGTCCCATCACTGAGCTTTATTCTCCAAGGCCCAGCTGCTGCTCGCATACCCCAAAAAGCAATCGGTCAGATCCTCTGTCAATCAGTGAAATGCATAAAGCAGCAGAAGGATGGTGCAGACACCGATAACTCCACCTAGAATTAAGGAATCTCTCCGCTTTCTCAGGTTGATTCGCTGGATGAGGCTGTTGATGGCCGGGAACCGATCTGTAAGAGGAAGTTAAGAAACCAAAGAATCTACCAAGTATTTCCATTTTTTTAGCTGCAAACAGCTGAAAACAGTTATTTTCAAAGAAACACTTTTAAGGTTTCACTCAATAAAAAAAGGTATTTGAATCAAAGTATTTTCAACCATTCTGCAAAATGCAAATCCCTCCTAACATGTTTTGACTCATCACCCCATTTTATACAGATATCAGATAATTCCTCAGTGTTCCTCACAATTAAGTTATTCCCGATGGCCCGAGGCAAGTAAAACGAAGTCTGGAAAGGAGCGTTAAATATCACTTGCCCAGTCAGACAATCTCACAGTAATGAGATTTCCACTTTTGTTGGGAACAATCCATTCATTGAACAATGTAATTTATATTTCCTTCATTCGCTTTCATTTGCATGCAGAAAACTGGTCTAACCCAGTTGTGTGTCAAATTAAATCTAGCCAGTTGCACTGCTTGTTAGTAATTGTCTATAGCCCGAGACGTGACTCAAAATGTTGGCAAAGCGAGAGTATGTGATGCAGTGAGTGAAAAACATTATTCCCTTATGGAAATAAATTCAGTTATAATAATACAACAACTAATAACAACAATAATAATAATCATCATCTTTTCAAAAAATAAACTAATTGTCATAAACATATTTGGCATATTTTTATGTGGTTTTTCACATTTGAACAGAAAAAATTGAGGATGGTCAAAAATCTGTTTGCAACAGTGAACTTTCACTTTAATTGCCTGAAGTTGGTTAAAATTAATATTAAACCCTGCTTGGCCTATTTTGCACTAGAATACCACAAATGCTCAGACTTCTCCCCATATGAATAAAGCACCTTGCCTCTCAAAAAAAATAAACAAATAAAACAGCTTATTGAGCTGTAGTCACTTGAGTTGTTAGAATTATTTGTGCTAACATATTAGCTCTGGTCCAGTGTTGCATCTGTCATGTTTACTGTGGTTACAGAACAGCCAGACCAATCTCTGCGTTTAGAGGCTGCAGTACCTAGTGTGATCATTATGTTTTAAAATCCAATAAAACTCATCATTAAAAAGTGCTTACTTCAAATTTCAGTGGTCTCAGCATTTACGTCTCTGAGGAGAATTCCTCAATGAAAACATTAATGAGCCAATCTAAGACACTAAGATTAAGAATCCTCCTGAGAGAATTAGCTTGTGATCAGTCCCCTTACACTGTATGAATAAGCAGATGAACAGGGAATGGAGTGATGCATTTTCCTGGTTTTATCTCTCGCTTTCTTTTTTATATATACATACAAACACAGACACCTAGAAAGGATACTGGCCAGAGTGTTGACCCTGCTCTGTATGGACTTCAACATGCCACGCTGGGAGGTCATGTTCTCCTTGGTGGCCATGGCAATGCTGGAAAAGAAGTAGAGTGTGGTTTAAAAGTAGTGGTACATCATAGGTGCAATGGTCTCAAGTCAAAGGCTTAGAAAACGCTGCAGTTCACTAAAGGGAGCATATGTCTCTCTCCTACAGAGTTTGAGCTCAGACAGGATAAGAAGCTGCATCACTCCAAACCCCCAGAGACGCTGCCCTACCCACCAACAGCTCTCAGCAAAGAGCCCAGAGAAGAATCATCCAGCATTACAAGTTCATTTCCTCCAACACTGTAGATAGCACATACCTCACATTACAGATAAATGAGGATTTCTTGCAACAGTCTTTGCTCGCTCAAGCATAATGCATTTCTGTTATGGAGGGGCTTCAAAGACTTCAGTGTCTCTGTTTTCTCTTCAAATGCATGACCCTATTATGCACACCGAGATGTTTCTAAAACTGTTGGGCAGATTCAGAGCCAGCACTTATTTGTCTTCTTCAGCTGAGTCTTGCTTTCTTGTTGCTGGTGGAGAGGATTAAATTGCAGTGTGACACTATAGCTCACTCAGGCTCAGCAGCTTTGGGAACGTAACCGATAGCCTGGCACCTAAAGCTTACCTGCAGGCCCAGAGCCCACCGCTGGCCAGGCTGTAGCTATTCAGCAAGCAGCATGGACAGAAAAAAAACTACCACCACCAAGTATTTTTAAACGAAAGCTGAGTCAACTCATTTAAAAATTTGGCCACCAAGTTCATTGCTGAGCTTGAAAGACATATTTGTCTTTCTGTGAGTATGAACTGGCCTAAGATTAAGGTCAGGTAGGTCTGCATTATTCCATTACACAGGTCTTTCAATGAGTATAAACTTGACCAAGATTAAGGTCTGTTATTTCCATTACACTGACATCTTAAAATCTAGTACACAAACATCCTGAAATATTTTCACCCCTCATCCCATCCAGTCAGAGTCAGAGCAAGCAAGTTTATTTTTTAATAAAAAAGCTTTAAGTGGACTTCAAAGTTCATTTAGAAGCAACAGCCTTTTTACACACTACATTTTGTGCAATGACTGCCTATCAAACACATGTTCAAGCAAGTTATGGGTTCTCAACTTTGTAAACCAAGCCCACATAAACTAGGGCTGCATAATATGGACAAAATACTACTACTGATTATATTGCTACATACTGGAATTGCAATATTCCTTTCAATATATGAAAACATACTTTTCAATCAATAATGTAACATGGCCAGTGTTATTTTTGACCATAAATGGATCATATAAATATGTTGATTTGGAGTATGCAATCACAATCCAAGATCAGAATTGGCCAATCTTTGCTCCTAACAAGCAATTGGCCGATTTATTCTTTTGATTTTGGCTGATCTCTGTTGCAATTTTAAGATATAAATGTTGTGGTGCAGGTAAGTACATCCGCGCTGTATTTAAATTTTGCTGCTACAACTACACCAAAACATTGTAGCATAATTATGACTCATTGCTAAATATCCAGTCACCTCTTACTTTTAATGCAGCATTTGATTTCATGTTATGTAAAAAGGCCAATGATTTTTGTTTGAGACTTTAAAATGCCAGTTTGACCAAGAAAGACCAAACCTTATTTATGTTGAACTCTGGCTAATAAAAAACACTAGGCATGTGTTTCATGTGCTCGCTTAGCCCAACATGTGAGCTTCGAGAATTCATGAAATTGGCTAATAAAACCTGCCAAAAAAATCTGCCAACTTGGCTGCAAATAAATCCGAATCAGATTAAACAAAAAATTATGATCAGTGCACCTGTGATCTTGATACATCAAAACACCCCAAAAAACTCATCTGGTGCTGTGACTGATCAAAATACTCACTGTACAGAGAAAAACAAACAGTACTGTGATTCTGAGAGGCCTCATTTGCATATTCTGCAATATCAGTATTGCAAAAGGAAATATTTCAGTAGTGATTAACAAAGCACACATTGTGCAGCCTTAACATAGACTGATGTTACATAATGCAAGCACAATGTAGCACCATACATAAAGCTGACTCCTTTACATTTATTACAGCACAGAACTGATATAAAGATAACAATCAAGTCTACAACAAACACGAATGAGGTAAAATATATCATGCCCCACTGATGCAAACAAATGATACAACAAATAATACAGGACAGTTCCCTCTTGGGGCCGGGAAGCCGCTGGCGCTTTCTCCCCAGGTGACTTCAGTCATAAACAACCTGACCTTTGTCTCAGTACAGTTTAGCAGAGGCTCCTCCACACACCAGAGACATTTATCACCTCTGAGAGCTCTGCTGCCAGCTCCCTCCCTGAGAGCTGGTACAGTGAGGGGCACGAGAATCTCTCCATTTCACATCTACTCACCAGTCTCTTAATATTTGTTTATATAAACAGATAAAGTATAAAGTAACTTCACTGCTCTCGTCAAACAAATGTGGTTGTCTAAACTACTTTTAATCAAGTTTTCAACCAGTGTTAACTGAACCCACAGAAGTCGGGAGGTATTACTTTAATTTTGCTACACAATACAATTACATAATTCCTAGGGCCATCAAAACATTAAAATCAATTAAAAATCAATTAAAATTGTAATTGCACTATTTAGTTAACAGGACTGCCTAGTTAATAGCAATTAATATCATTTAAAAATAAGTGCTTTTTGTTATAGCTATATGAACAGACAAAATAAGCCTCATAAGAACAAATATGTTACTTTCAACAATTCAATATCATTAATTTTCATCATGTGAACATGAAAATCAAGTGATTTCCAAAAATAAAAAGTTCCAATTTTTATAACTGATGCCCAGTGAGAGTAACAGTGGCTGCATGCTCCAGTCAATGAGTGTATGTATCATATACATCACATATACAGTGAGTGATGCCAACTCCCTCGCAATTATAGTCTCTCGCTCTCGTTCATACAGCTCCTGGATTCTTTTCACTGTGGAGGTTCTAGAGGGAACTGTAGCTTTCCACTTTATTGTTGCTCTTGTTAGTTTGACAGTAATAAGCTGTCATATATGCGTTAACTTTGACAGCATTAATAAATACATATTCAATAAAATGAGTAAGTCACATACTTAACTACACTTATATTTGATTTACATTCTTTATTGACAATAAATCTGAACTTCCCACTTATTTCTGATCATTGATGTCAACGTTCTCTATTTGCAAAACCCAAGGATGAAAGTATCTCATCAAATTCAAATCCTAATAAAATATCTCCTCTTACAGATTATCAATGCTCGTTTCAATGAGTTATGAATACGAAATAATTATTAATTATATTACACCTAGCTTCTGTTTCTGATGGCAAGAACTGTTTTTTCTAGTTTAACTCTTACACTGCCCACTGAAAAAAAAATTACACGTACAGAGCATAAGAGCGCAAAAAAACACGTGTTAATATGTACATGTTAAGACCAATACTTTTCCTGTGGGTGCTCTTCATCTGTAACTAAATAAACATGCAATATACATATGCACGAACAAGCTCAGCCACCAACGCAGCAAAGGCTACAATAATGAGGACATTGGTCTGGGTTTTTGCTAACACAGTAATCAATTATTGCTCAAGGGTATTATATGAATTGGATATGTTTACTGGATTATTTCATAATGTCTAACTGGCGATGGACAGAATCTTGTTTAGGAGACTGTTCTGGGCATCATTAAATTGCCATCACGAGCACCCACGCTCCACAGAGACCACAGCCATGATGAAATGTTAAACAATGAGTCTCAACCTCATTTTGGTGGCTCTGGGCTGGTGGAGAAAGCGCAATGATCTCAGCTGATATTGTGCAATTTTCTGCTTGAATAAGGCCGAGGGCATTTAGAAGAGGAGCTGAGCGACCCAGGAGCTGCCTTAATTAAGCACCTGTGCCAGCTGGCTCATGTGGGCTTCCCCAATACAAGGGTGGCTGCCACAGTGGAGCTGGAGAGGGGAGGACAAGGCTGCTGGGTCATGCATGAGCACAGTCACACCACGGGGGAAGCACCTATATGTGCACCTCCAGCCCTGCAGACCACCCAGCAGCCCTGTAAGAATAAGCTCAACTCAAGGGAAAGTCTGTCTCCCAGGGCTTCAATCACACACTCTGAAGTGTTAATTGTTATTTACTCAGCCACGGCTGAGGCTCTCGGGAAGAGGCACAACGTTCTTTCGTGCCATGTTTAAAGTTGTCTCAATCAGATGTGTCCACTGATATGTTTATACACTGAGGACACGCGATACAGACTTATACAAAGTGGAATCTGAGGGTTTCGATCAAGGAAACCAATTAATGTCTGCCAAGAAAGCTTTTCTGCCAGCTTCACTTCAGGGACAGGATCCGCTTTCAACCCAATCTCGAGCGATAATCTAATGGTATCAGAATGGACAAGTAATGGGTCAGTGGCTTGATGTTACGCATTGACTGAGGTCTCTTCAAATCGAAATGGGTCCAAAAAACACTACTGGTTTAGCAGTGATATAAGTGTTAGATAAGACACCATACTGTAATTAAAAGAATAGACATTTAGATTTAAAACAGTTAAGATGCGTATAGTATGAAGAATGGATACATCATTACAGTCTGTGCAATTGTACATTTGTAGAATCATTCTTACCTTATTGTGTCTTCAATAAGTCGATCTGAGCTGAAACAACAAAAACAGGAGCATATTTAGAAGAGATTAAATGAAAACAGGTCAACTGGATGAGTAAGGCTGAGATCGGCCCTGTGACATTTACAGTAATACTGACATGCACTGATGTTCCAACTGCTTCAGCATTCAGATCACACAAACCTTGTCTACTCTGTCTAGAATCTTTTAAACAGAAACAGGAATTGTGGCATTTTTAAATTCTTAATCCAGACAAGAAAGTGTTTGGGAAATATAAAACACATCCATTTTTAAAGGTAATTTTTAGAATATTACCTAAAAGAATGTGCGATTGCAACATTAGAGACAGGATAAAGAGTTGCCCTTTTATGTATTTGTTCAAAGCTTTTCCTCCAAAGAATGGAAAAGGCAATCACTTTAATATCTATAACATAACTAAAAGGTGAAAAATTATATCACACAAGAGAGGGATTTACAGACCAACTGAGCTACTACTAACCAAAATTTGTAAGTCTACATCTTATTATCGTGCCAGTGAAAAACACTTGTAATGAGACATTTGTCTATATGGACTGTGCCTCTTCGCCATGACACTGTCATTCTTCATCTCTGATCTATAGGCAGCGAATGAAATTCCATGCTGGCTCTATACCACATGCTTTGTCACTGTAGATGACAAAACCTTTAGGGCCAGCAAGACCTGAGGGGAAAGACAAATGGCCTTCACTTTGCCAGAGGGCTCTGATTTTGATTACATGCACTAAAAGTAGATTGCAAATTTTATCCCTGACGCCTGTGTGCTCCCTGTCTCTCCAAGAGCACAGTGTCAAAGTGTTAGCATACAGCAGGAAATGAGGAGTATAGTCAAATGGGCCCCATCACTCATTTCAGCTCCTGTGACACAGGAATGAGGATAGAAATCCATACACAAACACTGCAATAGAGCTCTGTGGAGATAATGGAGAATCTTCTCTATAAAAGTAACTGAATGATTGATTGGAACTCCACCTACAAGTTGTTAAAAAACAAATTGTTCAAAAAAATGAACAACTCACACAAGCATAAGCTTATGATGTCACATCCAGAAATCAGTCATTAAGAAGTGAACCTTACAGTGTGACTGATAAAGCTTGTTTTACAGTTTAAGGTTTGCTATGGCAGGGAACTCCTGTTATTCTTAGGCACGGTGTACAACAAACACTGACTGGGCTTGGCATTTCCAACCAACAAACAAATGAAACAGTTTCCTCTGATGTCATTAATTAGTTCCACTAATTATAATGACAATTATTATTTAGGCTGTTTTTAGAACAAGCAAAACAAAATCATTCTGTTGTTCAACACTCATCACATTGTAAACAAATGATTATCACGCATACATCAGGAAGTTATAGCATTTCAGTTTTCGAAAGTTTTTCAAAATGTAAAGACTGCATTCAGTTGAACATTCAGTACACAACCTTTAAATCCGCAAACTACAGTAATGTGCCACAGCTGTTTTCACACCTGGTTTGTTTGCTAAACCCTACTCCAGACTTTTTTTGTTTTTGTGACATTATCTTTCATTTGGTTTGGTTGGTTTACACCACAAATACAGCAAATTATACACATGGAAGTCTGATTATTGGTCAGGAATTTGGTGCACAGTGTGCTGTAAATGGAATAAAACAAATCCATGTAATAAATGGAGTGTACAGAGAAGTCAGGAAGCAAATCTTTAGTCTTCTAATGATACTCTTATAACCAGGATTGTAATAACCTAAATAACAACTTCTCACTTTTTTACTGCATTTATGTCTATTTGTATTTACTCTAACATTATTTGGTGTGTTTACAGGCAAAAACTCACTAACTGCCCAAGTACTTTTAAACAATTTTCATTGCTGTCTAAGACTTTTGTACAGTGCTGTACATAAAAGCTCTAAGCAGCAGTAAGCAAATGGTAGTTGGATAGCAGCTGAATCCCCCACTAAGAGGTTTCTGTTTTCAACCCCTCAACAGCAGCCATTATTTTAATTACATTACCCAGTGAAACACATGATTGCAAGTCAGAGATTTACTGAGATGCAATTTAGACAGCTCAGAACTGGCATAAGGGGGTTGGGGAACCTCAAGATGAATAAGGGGAGAAGCTTCAACTCATTGAGCAGATGGCCTGCTCATTTCTGAGCCCAATTTAAGAGTGTTTAGCTATGAAAGCAGTTGGCTGAGCTTGACTGAACTGAAAATATTGGGTTTTATAGTATTTTCTAATAGCAAAATAACATTTCTATGATGCAGTACCATGATAATAAGTGGAGAGACTTGTTGTGGAAGCTGAACTGTGATGCTTTGCTGATTAAGGCAATTGTCCCCCTTCTTAATGAGCTGCTTTACCACAGCAATGTGTTGTTAATAACTTGTAAAGGCCTCTGTGGAAATAACTGACTGAGCCAGTACTTAGCCCAGGCTAACTCGTGTTCAGATCTCAAGTGTCTTGCCACACCTGCAGGGACAGGCACACATCTGAGAGGACTAAATGAGAGACACGTGAAGGGCCTGGTACAGGCGTACTGTTTTTTTTTTTCCTGCCCCACAGAGCCCAACAACCAAACCATGCCCTCTCAAAACATACAAAGACATACAACACTCACTGTGCACAGCACATCATTCCCTTGAGGCCTGGGTTTCAAGTAGTGTTCTTTACAAACAATGCATTCAGCAGTTTAGTCCCCAATTAGAATCAATACTAATAATGTTTCAGAGAAAGCAAGAAACAAAAAAGTGGACAAGTCATTAATTCTTTTTAGTCTTAGGAAGACAGGGCAAGCATGTTTTTTTTTTGTTAACTTGCATGAAACCATGGTAGCTTCTATAAGGGATTTTAACAGATAGTGAAGATTCAAGCCTTAAAAGTTTGTCACATGCACAGAGAAACAAACAGTTGCACCGTACTATGAAACTCTTACTTTGCACTACCTCCTGGACCACAAGTTGCTATAAAAATACTGTATAAATAATAAGTACTAGGTAAAAGAAAGCACAAAAAACAGAGACTGCAGAGACTTGCCGAGGCGGAGCAGTTTCCAAACCAGAATGCAATGGACATGAGAGTGAGAAAGATACACTCAAAATGCACCTGTGTAAGTTCCTTAGAATTCGGGTTGACATGACACTTTTCTAGAGCCTTTGCTGGTAATGAACGTAAGCTTATTGAATTTTTTTCTGCTATAGCAAGTTTTACAAGACTAGGGATGTGACTACAGATCATAACAGTACTGGAGTAATCATTTTGACATTAAGTAAGCAGAGGTTTTAAAAAGGTCAAACAAAGATGGATTTAATTGTATAGTAACAAACTAAGGTAGATATTAAAAATATTCCATAATACTTTAATGGAAAACATTAATTAGCAAGTAAAAATAGCTATATATAAAAATACTAAGTGGTTAAAAATGCACATAAATGGGTGTGTCTATCAGGTTCTGTTTCATACCATAACAAAGATCCATAGCAGAATTCTAAATGTGCATTATTCATCATGAAAACTACCAACTAGTCAGTGCTGATTCACTGAGCAGGTAGACTTTAATCAAAGATTAAAGATTAATCAAAGACAAGATTAACAAAATAAAGCACTTGCTGATACTAGAAGGCTATCCATGTTTGAAACACTTCTTCACACCTGTACAGATCACCGGACAGCTGTTAGAGCAGCAAGAGACAGAGAAACTCTGTTAACCATCTGTCACCACTGATGCTGGCTTGTAAATCCATCCAGTGCAGGGGCCAGAGGCATAAAGTGTGCATCGCTACATTTGGAAAAGAGCGTTGGACTCTGATTCATGCTGTTATATAGGCAGAGATGAGACTGGGTTGAAAAATTTACAGGACTCTTCTATCAGCCCAGAGCAGAGGAAATAGGCACAATGTCAGCGGCTGGCATGGTGTGAGAGCACATGCAAAGAAAACAGGTTCTCAGGCACTGAAAAGCACCCCTAAAATTTCCAGTCTGAGCTACTGCAGTCATTACGTCAGTCATTAGCACAAAGCTAATTCAAACCCTCAGAGTCATTCATCCTTTTACTTCTGCTCTGTCTCTCTCCATCTTAGCTCTGGCCAGAAATGCTTCTCTTCTGGGTCCATCACACAGGAGCAGGACATGTCAGTATGTATTTTTTAATCCCACAACACACCAAAGAAGAAGTATTTGTAACATGCATTAAGGCTGAATAATATTTTAGGTTTTTTTTTAGGAAGGGTGTCTTCAGTGAGGGAATAAAGACAGTAGCTCAATATTTTGGTTAGAGCTGCACAACATAAAAAAAAAAAATCAACATTGTGACTGCAATATACAATACGCTCCAATACAGTGATAACACATTACTGAACTATTAACATGATGCGGTTTAAAAATTGGCCTGCATTATTGGCATTGACCAAAATTATTTATTTGTTGGATCATTCAGTGGACAGCTGAGCATTCGTGCCACACTTAAAATGTGTTAGGAAAAAAATATGAAGGTAGCATTTATTTTATATACCCCATTCCAAGAGTGTCATTTTCTTTTTGACAAAATATTTTTTAAAAAGGTAGCAGCTGTGTTCCTGATTGTTATCGTTTGAGCAGTTTCTTTGAAAACTTCTGCAGGTTTGCATCCAAAATTCCTTTGTACACAATCCATGATCCTTTTGATGAACACAAGCTCACGGACACTATTATAAGAAAAACAGCCCCAGATGTGTGTTTCACAGTAGCCTTAGTACAGTCTGGTTGGAATTCTTTTCCAGGTTTTCTCCATACAAAGTGTATCAGTTAGATTTTGTGTTAAGTGTTTTTATGAAGTGACCTAAAGCTCTTACAAAGTTAAAAATGTCAACAAATGTTTAAAAGGTTAAAGTGTCCAAATATGTCTTGGGGCCATTATATTAAAGCCTTGATTTATCCAAACACAAGGACATCTATGACTGGTCTGAATGCCTACAGTACAACACATTCAGTGACTGGTTACTGGCTAAACATGCATATATCTGCAACACTAGTATAGCAAAGG